TTCGGACATCGAATTTTGAAGTATTCCCGGAGCAAAGAGTTTGCCATGGCTTCTAGAATAGTGAAAAAGAGAGTCATCGGGTCATCCTGAAGGTGTACTTTAAGGAAAAATTAAATCTGTCCTAATTTAATATTTCTTTTCATCAATATACTCTACATAATCACAGTGTAATAAAGAGTACATTCGACAGTAACTTAAAGCTACTGTAAAATCACCAAAGAGCATTCTTCACAGAAACAATATTCCTTTTCTAATTGTAAGTGATTGGTTGAAGAAAATAAAGACTAAAACCTTCAGAATGGCCTGATATTCGCATAATTCAGCTACGATAGGCCACGAGGAGACTGAGTCGATCATACCACGGGAAATACTTTGAAGAAACCGCCTATCTAGTACCTTCACCCTGCTTCTTAATTATTTTCGCTTGTTCCCCGCTCGAAGCGGCATAAATGGAGTAGCGCTTCAAATTAACGCTGTCTCGTGTACTGAAGACAAGTCAGAAAAAGAGAGGGACGGAAAAAACAGGAGAAAAAAAAAGAACTTACTCTCAAGAGTTCAGAGAAGAAGAAAGTCGCTAACGTTCCGCTCGTTTCCACCGACAAAGCCGCGTATCCTTTGCGCGTTCTCGTCGTCACACGAACGATGGAAGAGACGAGAAATTCAACACTACTGTTTCTCTCTGGAACGCCATTATGTTCCGTTTCGCGAGTGTCCTCATCGTTTCCAAAAGGAAAGCTTCGAGTGATTCTTCTCTACAGTCACTCGTGAATGTTGAAAAAAGAGGAATTAGGGAAGACGAGTAAAATGCTGGTGTGGAATATGTAACAGTGGGAGTAGACTGATAATTATTAAAAATTGTAGAATGCGGAAATATGTAACGATGAAAAAGCAAGAAGTAGAAAATTGTAAAACATTGTAAGAAGTAAAAATGATTAACTGATGTAAATATAAAATAGTATAAGAGAGCAGGAGAGATTACAGAAAGAATTGAATGCAATGATAAAAAGAAAAATAAAAATGGTAAGAATCCTAAAGAGAAAAATAAGAATAAAAGTGCTGCTTCGACCGCAATTTAGAAATCAAGAAAGCATGCGTGGCTTCCATCACGTGTCTCCGAGTTATCCTGTCGCCTATCATTATTATGATTTTTATAGAGGTTCTAACAGCATACATAGAGTAGGTTCATAGGTTTGGTTCAAGCGTCTACTCGAGTAAGAAGTATTATTGCGTTGAAGGTACTCGATAGGAAGGTCTGACGCGGACAACGGGGTGCAGTATTCCTGGTTGTGGAAACTGGCGAACGTGACACAGTCACCGTACAGCTATCTATGGACCAATACCAGCACCGCACCGGAACTGGTGGCTGGTCCATCCAGGAGGACCATGTACGTCACCGCGTTATACTTCACTATGACCTGTATGACGTCTGTAGGCTTTGGAAACGTCGCTGCTGAGACTGACAATGAGAAGATTTTTACCATCTGCATGATGATCATCGCTGGTACGATTTCTTCTTTATTGAAGAATTGTGGAATCTCTTATTTGTTGATTATTTATCGTGGAATTCGAGGAGATTTTATTCGAATATTATTTACGGTAGAATTCAGGGCAATTTTGAGTAGGGTGAGTCTTGAAATTTTATTTTCATTTTGGAAGATAGTAATCAAGGGCTTTTTTTTTTTTTTTAAGTATTTCACAGTAGTTTCTTATTCAATTATAATTCTTTGGAGTTTTAGAATTTTACTTCAAATTTGAAAAGATGAAGGTTAGGCTCGTAATCATTCTTCAATAATTGGTCTTTGATCGTGTATTCAATGTTGATAATGGGAATAATAAGGATGGTTGACGGTATAATTCTGTTTCTAGCCCTGTTGTATGCCACAATCTTTGGTCACGTGACCACGATAATCCAGCAGATGACGTCTGCGACGGCCAAATACCACGACATGCTGAACAACGTGAGAGAATTCATGAAACTACACGAGGTACCAAAGGCGCTTAGCGAGCGAGTGATGGACTACGTGGTGAGCACCTGGGCGATGACCAAGGGCCTAGACACAGACAAGGTACTCAACTACTGCCCCAAGGACATGAAGGCAGACATCTGCGTGCATCTTAACAGGAAGGTCTTCAACGAACACCCTGCATTCAGGCATGTGCTTAATACCATAAATATAATTGACAAAAATTGATGAGATAAAAAAAATCCAGAACAGTATTCCATTATCTACACAAATATCTATTTTCCATTATTTTCAGTCTTTGAGCTATAAATAAAATGCAACTTAGAAAAATTTTAAGTCCAACGAAGCCGAAAATTGGAATTAAAAAAATAAATCATTTTAATTTCCATATTTTTATTATATTTTAGGTTGGCCTCCGATGGTTGCCTGCGTGCCCTCGCGATGCACTTCACGATGTCCCACAGTGCACCGGGCGACCTGTTATATCATACAGGCGAATCCATCGACTCTTTGTGTTTCATCGTGACTGGAAGTCTTGAGGTTATCCAGGACGACGAGGTGGTTGCAATTCTAGGCAAGGGTGACGTGTTCGGTGACAGCTTCTGGACAAATCCATCCGTCGGACAAAGTGCTGCTAACGTACGAGCTTTAACCTATTGTGATCTGCACACGATCAAGAGAGATCGATTGTTGGAGGTGCTGGAGTTTTATCAGGCTTTCGCCAACTCCTTCGCCAGGAATCTTGTATTGACTTACAACCTTAGCCATCGGGTGAGTGGTTTTATTTTTCATTTTGATTAGAATTAATTTAATGAAAATTGTATTAAAAGATTTTTTCCAAATTATTTCCGAATTGAAAATAGAACTATATTCAAAGCCATTTTTCCCCAAATCTTTCTAAAGTTAAAATAAAATTTTTCCTACCCTAAATTTCTCTGAATTTTTTAATAATCTATTAATCAAGTATTTATGGTTAATATTACAATAAGTGAAGACACACTATATAAGGTTTTAAATCTTTATTGAATTCTTAACATACCGAACAACAGTGCAGCATATGGTTCTTTGGTTTATGCCTTCTGAACAAACAGAATGAACGGCAGCTTTCGCCCACATTGGCTTTCTGTACGAATAAAACACACGCACGCGCGCACACGCACACACAGTCTTACGTAACAATATAGCGATAATATAGTAGTGACCCGTGTTGTACGATACTCTTCTCCTTCTCGTCAATTATTGAGTCTGATCAGCGTATCGAGAGAATCGATTAAAAATTGATTGATGATTCACCAGGCACTAGATAATAGGCATCCGAAAGACACAGCAACTCGCACGATATATATTTCTTTTCTTTTTTTCTTTTGTTCAAGTCGAGTGGAAAAAATAATAACTAGCACGAGAAATCGTCAGGCCGTTACCGAGACGTGGAATTTCTTTTTCTTGAGACGAAATTAAGAAGCAGACAGACGGACAAGCTTGTAAAACGCGAGTAGAAGTAACTTTTGATCGTTTATTATCATGTCCAGAAAATTCCACGCTATCTACGAATTTTTGTTCCTTTCTCTTTCACTTAGAACGATTCCCTTTTTTTTTTCTGCACTAAAAAGCTGATACAGTTTGTGTAATCTGATACATGTTTCTGGATAAAATAACCTCATGTCGAATCTTTAGTATCCCTCTTCTCCTCTCTCACTATATCACTGTACATCTTGCGACCAGACATCTCTAGCAACATCTTAGAAGTAGTATCCTTGTCCAGAATTGATCTAGAATGTTTCTCTTCCTCTTCTACCTCTGGAAGTGGACCCACTCCCCACACCTCACAGTGTTTGATCTTAAAGTTCTCCTTGTTACTAAGCTGTATATAGTTCTGGAAGGTAGTGCAGGATAAGCTTGATTTTCCAGTTCCATATTCACAGTCTAACCAGAGGCCTGGATAATTCAATTGCCCTCCCATAAGCAGACCATTAGGCATAGTTTGTTGGTGCATATTTAAATATTGGTAATGGTTGTTGTAATTGCTAGAAGGGAATGTAAGTATGTCTGGTTCCAATTTAAACAAAAAGGAGGATTGGTTTCCTATAAAGTTTGGCCCAATTGCCCAGCTATCAGAGGCAAAACCACCAAACACATGGTTGTCCGTGTCCTGAAGTATCATAATGGTAGAGCCTTGCATTGTAATTCTTCCAAGCATGGTAGAGAATGATTCTCCATGCACTTGACTGGAAAATAGAAATCTCCATTCATTGCGAAGTTCATATGGCAAACTGAGATTTAAAAAGAGAACATCTCCCAGCCCTAAAATACTTGGAAAGTGTGGTATGTTCTCTAAGCCTTTGCACACTGGCAAGAGATTTAAATCATTTATTCTGGCACTGGTGTTCTTGTCTCCTTTCTTTTGAGACACCAAGAAAAGGCACTGGAAGACGTGCGATTGAATGGTTTTGAAGGTAGCAGTTGTTGAGAACCAGTTCTCTATTTGATCAACAGTTAGTGTGTCTCCATGTTTAACTAGATCTTCGCACAAGCTTCTAGACCTCATTCCTATCCTCCTAGTGTTTACAGTACAGCCAATGCTGCTCCAACTCAGATAATGCGCATTGCCAGAATTTTTCTGCAGTCTCAAGTAGGAATTTATGGTTGCTTGAATGTATTGAAGGAACATGGCGGTAGATATTTCATGTTTTTGCTCTTCCTCTGAGAAACCATTAAGAATCAGACTAGACCTCTCTTCAGCACTCCCACGAACAGCAAACACATACAGTCTACCAAAGTTTTCTCCATTTATGGCTGACACTCTCTTGCCTGGTTCATGGCAAAGGAACTTTACTACAAACTGCAACAGTACATCGTCCAAGTGGGTAGACCAGTGCTTAAATATGTCTTCTCGCTTTATGGAGCCTGAACTCCGGGACATAGACTTGAACAGATTCTCCACTAAGGTCAGCTCGTCCGCGGAAAGGATATTCGCGGATGAAGCGGAACGGCTCGAACCATGTCCCATCTGGAACAAATCGATTATCTCGATCGACTCCGTTTCACATAACTGTTACGAAACAGTTGTGATATAAAATGATAGAGAAGCATCTTTGAATACAAAGTATAAACAGACATATGAAATAATCGATCTACTGTGCGATACTTGGCGATTCAAACATGTTTAAAACATCAATCACACAACGCTATGCGTTATTAAGTAGAAAAGTTACTTCTAATTGAGAAAAAAAATGAAAAAAAAATTTACAAACCTTTCGAACGCGAGGAGCACTTTCCACAGCAATCCATATACCTGTATTTTTCCGCTGAAAATTGCGATTCGAGACGAATCACGGCACACTCTCAAAATCTTTCACAAAACATTCGAAATGAAGTTCTGAGGTGAAACTCGTCGAGAACGATCCACGACCTTCTCCGAACCGATACAATAAATAAAATATTTTGAGGTTAATCGCTAGTGCAGGTAGTCTGCTACTTACGCGCCTATCGACTGCTCTCTCAACGCATGCGCATTCATGCTTCCCCACCCTTTGCTTTAACTTTTTATCTACAAAAACCATTGTTTTTCCGGTGCTGGGAACTCAAATACCGAAAAAATTATGTCGTTCCACTTACCTGCGTTTCATTGCAGCGATAAGACCCTAATATTATTCACGTGGAAATTATGAATATAAATTTCGTTTTTCGTTAAGTATAACAATTAAGTATAATACTTCAATTTAGTAGATTTTTATAAAATTACTGTTCGAATAAAAAAGTTCTGAGAATTATTTATACAGATCAAGACGATTACCAACAGGCGATAATTAATAGAATAATAGTTCACCTAGATAGTAAAAGGTGGAAAAACCGATAAAAGGTCCAGAAATGTTTCAGACCATTAATAATAAGCGAAGAAGCGATTAGAGGGCATAAATAATTGTTCTAGACCCCATAAATAATCCCCCGTCGTTCCAACTGCTCTGTGTTGTTCATCCTGATTAATCGCTTTAATTGCACCGGCCTACCTATAACACATTCCTTTGCTCTACGAATACTGCAGGCTGCGAAATGCAACTAAACACCTAAAATGATTAATTTTATCGCCACGATACTTGTTTAAGCGTGCACAAATCGAATCGAATGTTTTGTGCAGCTGATTTTCCGGAAGGTGGCCGATGTCCGACGGGAGAAGGAACTAGCTGAAAGGAGGAAAAACGAGCCGCAGCTAGATCAGGCGCAGGATCATCAAATATCTCTTACCGTGGTCCTTCATTTTTAGACGAAAGAATAATTACTTCATATCGAAAATAAAACTCTTTTGTCGTATGAAGGAGCACTGGAAGAGTTCAGTGCTAAATCTAAGAGTAATTTGAAGGATTCGTATTCGTTCGTGCGTGTATTTGACCATGACTCCCACTTACAAGGCTAGAGAAATAAATTCCCCGGCGACTGTTTACGAATGAATACGCATCCACAGGATTATTAACGACTCGTGCAGCCTCAATTCTTCCATGTAACCACGTGGAAGGCCGCGCAAAGTGGACAGCTGGTCTGTATTCGCAAGTCCAAACAGACTTACGAAACATGCATACTTTTTTTTAACCTCAATCTCACTGGAACCATTACAAAAAAAGTATGAATGTATAGAATGTGTGTTCGTATGAAAGACAAACGATCATACGTTTGAACTTCGTCTAATTTCACGTTATACATGTGTACTCCCTTAACCTCAAACGTTTAAAAAGGAAATATACAAATCTTCTAACCTCAAAGAAAAAAATATTTAGATTTTAAAAATGCCAGAATAAATTACTAACAAATATAAAGGGAATATGCACGTAAAAATCGATAAAAAACAACTGTCATAAACTACCAAACACATCACTAACGTGAACAATTGTGAACATAAGCGTGAAAGTGTGCGAGAGAGAGGGAGAGAAAGCGGTACATTAAAAAAAAATCTTTTCGTTTCGTATGTTCTGGTAAATTGTTGTTGATTGTTGATCGTTGCTTGGCTGGCCTGTTGTCCGTAAAGGTTCAAGACCGACGGGGATGCCCAGATCGGCGTGAGCAGGGCCGCGAACGGACGGTCCCAGCAGGATTCCGACGAGGAGCTCACCGTGAACGTCCTGCCGCCCTGGCCCAGTTTTAGGCAATTTCATTTCTTACGTATTTATTTATCTTTCTTCCATTCTTTTTTATTGCCATCTTTGCTACTTCTTA